AAAAAAAAAAAGATTAGTGTCATTAAGGTAATTTGGTTGGGAAATAATTTAGTCATGGAACTTGACCTTTAGAAATGCTTTTCCATATAGATGGTTTTGGTAACATAATCCTATGTTATTTTAATACTCAATAATTATATAACATATGATTGTTTACATTTGTTTAATTTGAATCAATCTGTTTCTTATAGACATGTCCTATTTGTGTGTCTCTTCCTTGGGGAGATCCTAGCCAGATAACTAGAAATTTTGTTAGTCATCTGAATCAAAGACATCAGTTTGATTATGGAGAATTTGTGGTAAGTGAATTGTTCATGTTTAAGAAAATACTGTTTAAATATTCTAGTTAGGGCAGCACCTGTGGCTCAGTGGGTAGGGCCCTGGCCCCATATACCAAGGGTGGCGGGTTTGAACCCAGCCCTGGCCAAACTACAACAAAAAATACCCGGGCATTGTGGCGAGTGCCTGTAGTCCCAACTACTTGGGACGCTGAGGCAAGAGAATCACCAAGCCCAGGAGTTGGAAGTTGCTGTGAGCTGTGATGCCACTGCACTGTACTGAGGGTGATAAAGTGAGACTCTGTCTCCAAAAAAAAAAAATAAATAAATACTCAGGTTAAATTTTTTAATCTAGACTTGAGTTTTGGGGCAAGTTGTATCATAGTGGATGGTTTTAAAGCTAGTCTTTAGTTTCTAATAATAATATTGGTAAACTTTAGTTTGTAGAAGTAATGCAAATTGTTGCAGTTTGGTGGGGGCCAGTTTTGAACCTACCATCCTCCGTATATGGGGCCAGTGTGAAGTGATGCAAATTGAACTTACTTTCTACTTTCTGTACTAGACAGAGAGTTCATAGAGGAAGCTCAAACCCCAAAATAAATAAAATGATGATTTGCACGAAAATTCTATCTGGAAAATTGTACCTGTTAGGGAAGTAAAATTGGTACAACATATGAAGGAAGATGTATGTCCCATGTAGTGTAAATTGCTCATTAAACCCACTGTAATAGATTTCTCACATCTAGTGTGTGAGACACATTCTTTTTAAAAATGAAGGAACTTGATTATCAGGTAAAACCAGTTGAGTTATTTAACAGGATGAGTAAAGGAAGTTATATAATGTAAAAAGGATCCCCAAACAAAATGTGGGGTTAATTTTTGCTTTCCAAATGTGTGTGATAATTTGTTCTAAAATTAATTATAACTTCTGTTTTATTAATTGTGAAGTTGCCTATTATTCAATTTCTGTGTAAGTAAAACCTTACTTAAGATTAACCCTGACAGAGTGGCTATTATTTTCCAATTTAGGTAAGGACAGGCATGTGAAATTCTCAAAATGGCATGAATAAAAATCTTTGTCCTTTAATGCTGAATTTTATTTTTTTTGCCATCCAATGTTGAAATTACATCAGTCTTAATAATTTTGTGGAATTTGCATTTTTTAGTTTCCTATTTTAAAATAACAATTCAAATGTATTTAAGATTCAAGTGTACTCTATTGCTTACTTCATATTTTTGAAGTAATTGGATTATTATTCTCATTGTAAGAAAGGTTACTGTGTCTGGAAAACTATGGAAGTATTTTGTGGGGTACTTTGGATCTAATTGTGAGATTGTTTTCTCTTGCCATAGAAAAATTTGTAGATTTAAGTCTTTGAGATTGTCAAGTAGAAGCCTTGATATATTTTAAAAGGAAATCCTGACATAAAATTGATAGTAGATAGAATTTTTAAAGTTAAGGAGTAGTTTTATAACTATGATAGAGTGAGTTGTAGTTTTTAGCTTCACATATGATCATGAAGCCATTGTCTAAACTCAGTTCTTCATACGTGTTTATTTTGTGCATCTGTAGTCTCTATTTATAAATGTTTGCCTTTGGGATGTTGGTTCTTATCCCAGCCCTTGCACGAGGTATTTTCGAGATCATTACTGGGCATAATTTTTACCGTACACAATAGATTATGAATACCTCTAGGTCAAGGGTTGTGATTTATGTATTTTATATTCCTCTGAACCAGCACAGCAAGCAAGGGCTTAATAAATATTTGTTATATAAGAGAAGAAGTGATATTCATGTTATTAAAATAACATAGAACAAATACCCTTGCCCAAATGAGGATTAAATTTACCATCTGACTTAGGTTTTCCAATTCTATAAATCTAAAATTGGTTGACTTATTTTCAAAAAATTAGTTTACTTTCAGATATATTTGGCATTCTTCTCTAGAGATGACACAAAGTGTATTACTTATAATTGTTTGTTATAATTAACTTCACTTTTTTTTTTTTTTAATTTAAAGAGATGAGATCTTGCTGTGTTGCCTAAACTGTCCCCAAACTTCTGCACCCAAGTGATTCTCCCTTTGTATCCTCTTGAGTAGCTGGGACCACAGACTTAGACCACCACTCCTAGCTTTACAGTTGACTGCACCTTTATTTTTTTGAGACAGTCTCAAGCTGTTGCCCTGGGTAGTGCTGTGACGTTACAGCTCACAGCAACCTCAAACTCTTCAGTTTAAGTGATTCTCTTGCCTCAGCCACAATGCCCAGCCATTTTTTGGTTGCAGTTGTCATTGTTGTTTAGCAGGCCCAGGCCACCCTCGCTGAGCTACTCATTGAGCTATGGTCACTGAGACAGTTGATTGCACTTTTTGATTAATGGCTTATCATAAGGCACTACTGTGACTCTCAAATTTAATTCTCTGCTTATCCTATTAGCTATTCCTAAATAATTACAAGTGAACTTAATTTTTATCAAAGTTCAGGTATTTAAATCTTATATTTTATTTATTTTATTTTTCAACAACTATTGTCTGTTACATTTTATTTTTTGAGATAGGGGGTCTCATAACATTGTCCTAGTTGGTGTTGAGCTCCTGGACTCTAGTAATCTACTTGTCTCAGTCTTTTGAGTAGCTGGGATTTACAGGCATGCACCATCATCCCTGGCTAAATTGCACACTGCATGGTTTACAGTGTACCATCTTGAGTGTATACATATCAAAATACATAATATATTGGTTAAATTTCTGAGTAGTTATATTTTTCCTGTTGACATGTTAATGTTGTTATTTGTAGAATCTTCAGCTAGATGAGGAAACACAATATCAAACTGCTGTTGAAGAATCTTTTCAAGTAAACATCTGAAGGCTGTATGCGTCTTTGCATCTTTGTTACCTGCAAGTGCCATCTTTAAGGGGAAAATGACATGAAGTCACTGTTTCAGTAACTTGATGTGTATATTAATAAAAGTAATTCAGTCTCTTGTTTTAGTTTTTGATTGAAAAATAAAGGTGGGCCATCTAAAAATTTCATCCTCTTGATAAGTTAAAAAATTAAGTTTATGACATTAGCTTCAAAAGCAAAAAAAAAAAAAGAATTATATTTCACTAATGTAATTGTGAAAAGGGAATCCCTGTTGTACTTTCTTTTTTTTATACATTCTTTAATTTTTCATTATTATGTTGCTTTTGAAATTTGGTGCTTTTCTTCCCATTTACTTTATTGGTACACAGATAACACACAGTAGCAA